GTGCTCGTCCACAGCTCCAGGCTGCATATGTCAGTCAAAACTGACAAAGAATAAAGAAGGCAAGGGCTACTCGCAAAGATATCTACTATGATGGGCGTTTGAGTTGTGGTACATATAAGTGCAGATATAAGCCCAGCAAGTGTGTTTATAACTAGGCTAACATCATTTATAAGTGGGCCATCTGTCTGTTAAGTGATTATATCTCTTTTTTTTTATATCTACTTGCTAGGAGTTAAGGGGGTTATACCTGGACTTGTAAGTGGGTAGTTATAGTTTGCTAGTCGATTATATTGGACTTAGTAAGTACTTAGCTATAAGTCCCTAAGTCCCCCACGATACCCTCTGCCAAAAACAGACTTTTCCCGTCCGGCTCAAAAAAACACAATCACACGAGGCTAGCCCGTGTGTTGCCGCGAGGCTTGCCCGTGGCAAGGGTGGAGCACCCGCGCGCACACCTGCACGTCCACACCTACACACTTGCACTTGCGCACCTACACACACAGACACACACGCACAAACACGCACGCAGGCACGCACGCATGCACACGCAAACAGCATGCATGCAAACACGCATGCACACTGACAGCCACAGTCACGCAGACAGGCAAACGAGCACTGTAAGCCTCTGCGTCGCCATGGAAGGTGGTGACCAGCCGGTCAAGGAGGAGCCCTCAGCCTCAAACAGCAAAGAGGCTGAGGGCAGCGGCGCTGCAAACTCCGCCTCATTGGCCCACATGGGGCCAATTGAGGTGGAGGGAACTCTGATGGCGGCTGACAAACAGGCCATCAAAGAGACCACTGGACTGGCGTGCAGTGTGCGGGCGCGCAACCAGTGGTCGGGCCAGCGCTGCTTGACGCTGGCGGGTCCAGCGAACAAGCTGGACGAGGCCCTTGCCCTTTGCTACCAAGCAATGGAAAAAAACGAGGGCCGGGACAGGTCTGCTGAGGCTGGCCCAGCATCGACTGCTGCCAAGGCGGCTCCCAAGACAGCCGGTGCCGGAGGAGGAAAGGCAGAGCCCAAGGCAAGGGCCAGAAAGGCAAGGACCAGAAGGGCAAGGGCAAGCAAGCGCAGCAGGAGGACCCGAACAAGCGCTGGCACTGGGGGGAGCAGCTGCAGAGGAGGTGCATGGAGCAGGAGACCGAGCTCGCGGACCAGAGCCGACAGCTGCGCGGCCTCTCCGCGCAGCTGCACCACCTGACGCAGACCTGCCACCAGCAAGCGGCAATGACGCAGACTGCGGGCCAACTCGGCTTCCTCACACAGCTGCAGCAGCAGGTCACCGAGCAGCAGCAGCACTTGACTGCTCAGCAAGGGCTGCTGTGTTAGCAGGCGCAGCAGCTGTCACAGCTCCTCACCCTGCACGAGCAGCAGCGCAGGCACAGAAGCCAGAAGCGGCGCCGCAGCCCACCTCCTGCAGCCCACCCGCCGGAGGACGGACAGCGTTGTTTTTGGGAACCTGTTTTATGGAGTGTAACCCTTGGAGTCCACAAGGCTGTGTAAAAGAATGAGTACCTTTCATTTTACATCTAGCTCCTAAACACTAATGATCTCTGCCATAAGGCTGGCCTGTGGGACAGAGGAACCTTTGTACGCAATGCGCACATACAAGTATACTTTTGAATCCACAAGGCTGGCCTGTGGATTCACAAGTAACAATACCTTTCATTCTAGAAATTGCAGTTCTCTCCCATAAGGCTGGCCTGTGGGAGAGTTCTGCCGTAAGAAATCTCTCTCAACTCAAAACCCCAAACCTTGTCACACGACAGGAGCCTGCCCACGGCCGCCGCAGCAGCAGCAGCAGCAGCAGCAGCAGCAGCAGCAGCCAGGATGCTGCCAGCTCCGGCATGGAGGAGGCGGAGGAGGAAGAAAAGCAGGAGGAGGAGGAGCCTCCGTGCCCGGAGGTCAAGCCTCAGGAGGTGGAGCCAAAAGAAGAGGAGGAGGAGGTCCCTGTGCTTGCGTTGCAGCAGATTGCAAGCCCGACTTCTTGCGCGGGCGTGGACGAGGAGGAGGAAGTAGCACCTCCAGCGAAGGCTGCGGCGGAGGTTGCTGCCAAAAGCAAGGCGAAGGCGGAGGGCAAGGAAAAGGAGGACGGCCAAGAGAAAGAGGAAGTGTCGGAGGAGGAGCGCGCTGCAGGCCAAGCTGGAAGAGCACGTGGAGCAGTGGCAGAACGGGGACGGGTGTCTTTCTGGACGAGGAGGACATGAGGGCGAAGTACGCCAACAAGCCCACGCAGTTGGCCAGCATCCTGGAGAACACGTACCAGTTCCATGATCACATCCGGAACTGCAAGCTCTACGAGGATGTGGTTTTCAAGCGTGACTGTGTGGAGACTGGGAAGAAGAGGAACTTCAAGCACCAGGGAAACGAGGAGCCCTCGTCTTCAAGAAAGAGGGCCAAGTCCAACGGCAAGCCTGCCCCTGAAGCCCCCAAGCTGAAGAAGGGCGAGGTCGGGAAGCTCAACAAGAAGCTGGAGGCTGTGGCAAGCAAGCGCCTCATGTGCTTGGACTACTTGGAGAAGTCTTCCAAGTACCAGGACATGGCGCCAGCCTACGCAGGCAGTGACCGAGGGCTCCACCCAGCTGGACGGCTGGCGCGCGGCTGTGGACTCCGGCCATGCGCAGCTTGGCTTTCCTTGTCATTTGTTTGTTTCTTTGTTTGTTAACAAGATGAACCCCCTACAGAACTTTCTATTACGACCAGGCACACAAGCACGATCCTGGAGGAGGCCGACAACCTGTTCGCGACCCTGTCTGAGGCAGCAGCTAGGATCAAAACACAGGTAGATCAGGCTGTGGCCTACCAGCAGAAGTAGCTTCAGGCCTGCAGGAGCTGAAAGCGGCCACTCGAGGCTGGCCCGAGTGCGCGTGCAGACTGAGGTGGTAGCGGGGTTTTTCCAAAAGTGCCGAAAATTTAGTTCTTCTTGCTGCTATTCTTGAAGTTTGCCTGAAAAGTGGTGTGTCTGGGGACGGCGGCGGCTCGTGTCTGGGCGGGGGCGGGGGGCGTGTCTGGGGCGTGTCTGGGCGTGTCTGGTGTCTGGGCCGTGTCTGGGGCGTGTCTGGGGTCCCTGGCGGAAAGGCGCGTGTTTTCGAGAAAAAACCCAGGCATCCCTCAAGTTTGAATCCTGGAGCCTCAGCCTGTGACATCACAGCAAGCAACACAACCGCACGCAGTAGAATGGGTAACTTGTGAGTTTGTATAGGAAAACACAAAGCGCACCCGGGTGCGGTATGGGAAATTTCAAGTCAACAGATCCCCAAAAAGTGAACCCCGAAACCCTCAACCCTGAACCCCAAACCCACAGCCCTGAGCCCTGAACTCTAAACCCTCAACCCTAAACCCCCAGCCCTAAACCCTAGAAAATAAGCCCTACTACACCGCGGGTCTTTGCGGAAGGTTCAGAAGGCCTGTGGAGCGCTTATCGAGTATTGCAATACAGCATATCCGTTGTCACTTTCTGTATGAATTTACATAGCGCACCCGGGCGCGGTATGGGAGGGTGCCAGGGAAAGGGTGTGTTTCTTCAAGCCTGCATGTTCTACAAATACATGTTTGCAAGTTCCGACGCTTTTCTCCAAGCTCAAGCTTCCTGTTTAACGCGAGCCACCTGAGGCTTTCGAGTTTGTGCAGAAAGGCTGGTCCTTCTGCGTCCCTCACTTGCGTCTACTTGCTCCTGGCGCAGCATGTCAAGTCCAGACAAGAAGCTGCGCCGCCTGGAAGGCCTGAAGCCCGAGAACGTTGACGACGAGGACACGGTCAGCAACAACAGCTACAGCGCTGCCGCCCTTCGTGTCCAGGTGTTGGAAAGAAAGAACAAAGCCCTGGCACTCGAGTTGAAGGAGGTCAAAAGAAAGCTGGCGCAGGAGAGGGCTACAAGTGACAGCCTCCGGGGAGAGCTGGCAGACAAACGAGCCAAGCTGGACTTTGCGGCCAAGGCAACCAAGGAGCTGAGCAGAAGCGTGGCTGCTTTTGGAGGCATCCTGCTGATGCAGCAATGGGGTGTGTGTCCTGAAAATGAGTAGCCACGAGGCTGGCCCGTGGCGGAGCCACAGCTGCACACTGTGAAGTTCAAACGACAGGGCCTCCAAGCTGCGTCCGCACGATGCGAAGAAGCAGGCTTGTTGCATGTTGCCTCTGCTGCCTCTTCCTTTTGAGCTAGCAGCCACAAGCTGTGACTCAGACAAAAAAGGCCTGGAGGCTAGCCCCGGGCGAGCCCCACACGTTCGTCGTCATAATATATAAGACAGGAATGCACACAACTCACTACTGCGATTGCCAAACTGGCGCCCATTAGTGCAAATCCTATAACTTGAGATCCCGACCCCTGCACCCTACGCCCTAAACCTTGTCAAGGTTCGCCTAAGTTTTGAAACTTGCCTTAACCCCCCGTGGTGCAGCCATGGCAAGGACCAGGAAGCGGCCTGCTGCGGCTAGCAGCGTCGCCCCGCGCCGACGACCAGCAGCCTCAGCTAAGGCCTCCAGCACGGCCGAGCAAGACGGGCCTCGGGACTGGGCGCTGAAGGGGCGAAGGTTCGTCCTGCAAGAGACGGGCCTTCCCGAGCCCAACGACTGGAGGGCTTTGCTACCGGAGACGCTGCCGTGGCTTTGCATGCGTGGACGCCTGCGGGGTGGCTCTCAAGTGTCTGGAGGTTGACCACGTTTGCTGCAACGTTTACGGCCCCGGTACGCCCCGCACCTGGAGCAGAACGTGCGCTTGGCTGAGGGCAGCTCCTTGCACCTTGGTCCCTCTGCTGGGGACTTGACAAGGTGCGACCTCAAGGATGTGGAACGCCCCGTAGACGTTGTGGTTTCGGGGCCACCCTGCCATCTTGGGCTGGAATGGGCAATCGCCGCGGTTTGCTGGACGTGCGCAGCCAGGTCTTCATCCACGTTCTTTAATGGGTGGTGGCCTTGGTCAAGATTGGCGACCTGGCGTGCGCCTGTTTGGAGAATGTCAAGGCGATTGCCCAGAAAGACGGCTCCGAGGAACTCATGGCCAAGCTGCTCCAGGTCTTGCGCAAGGAGGCCAGTGAGTTTGCCTGGGCCGTGCACACGCTCCACGCTCGAAAATACCGACTCGCGCAGCAGCGCACGAGGGTGTTTTTGAGGGGCGTGCGGCTGAGCTACAGCTCTGTGGTTCCGGACCCGCTGAGCCCTTTTAGCGAGCTGCCGCGCGGGCGTTCTGGAACCCGGAGCTCCCGAGCGTGGACCGTGGCGCTCTCACTGTCTCTCGGCTGTATATATGGAATGTCAGGCTTCAGGTTTCTGGCTCAACTATATTGAAGGCTTGCGTCATGGACGCTCTCGGCTTAAGAGGTAAACGCTCTTATATATAAACATTATAACGTTCCCGAAGGCTGGCCTCGGTGACAAGGTATAAGTTCTAGCCCATGAGTTTCTGAACACAAGCCTGTCAAGCTCAGGCAAACCTGAGGCGCAACCTCCTCGACGCGGAAGAGTGCCTGGCCAAGTTCGTCTGCGAGGGGAAGTACGACCCCAGCTCGATCCTGGTCTTTCCTTTGGATCGGGCTACTGGCAAGGTGTTCAAGCGGCAGTACACGGAGAACGTAACCCCTACCTTGCTGACGGGAAACAAGTACCTGTTTCTGGCTTCTTTGAAGGACTTGGGCCGCCCAGACAAAAAGAGGGAGTTCTTCAGGTTCCTCGCGCCGAGCGAGCGGTACACGCTCCAGGGCTTTAGCCCAGCAGTGCTGGAGGGGCGCCACCCATCCCTCCGGATCAAGGGCAGCGGCAATGCCTACCCCGTGCCCCTGATCGTGGCCGTGCTGTATCCCGTCCTCAAGCTCCTTGCAGAGAACCCCGCGCTCTTCATGGCTTCCAAAGGAGGAGATATTGAGGACGGCAGGCCTGCAGCGAACCGCTTCTTGCATGCCATGCAGACCTACGCGGACGCCATGGCAGAGCTGCAGCAAGAGAATGCCGGCCCGGCCTTGAAAAGGGCGGCTGCAGAAGCCCCTTGCAGACCACCCAAAGCGAGGGCCAAGCCGCCAAGCGCCGCACCAGCTGCCTTTATGGCCAGCAGTTCTTCTAGTGACTCGAGCAGCTGAGATGTTTGGCCTGATGTGTACGAGAAGCATTCAGTTTCACAAGCTAGTATAGACCTCTACACACAACAAACCCTTGCCAGCTTTGCTCAGGCCATGCAGCTCGGCGCAGTGCTCTTGGGGCGAGGCTGGCCCGCCCTGATTTGTTTCACCTGGCCTACCAGCCATCTCTTCCAGCAGAGCCTCCGCTGCTATATAAATCTATACGCATCGCCTATATACATAGCTCCAGACTTGCTCTTCAGTATGAGGCTGTTGGAAGAGGCTTTCAGCGTTTGGGCAAGGCTGGCCTGCCCATGCGGGGTTGTGTATACCCCAGCAAGACCACAAGCTCGACCAGCCAAAAAGATCGGAAATTTGCAGCCCGACAGCTTTGGCTTTCTGGGGTTTCAGAATATACCTTTATAAACCCTTGTCCCTAGACCCTATTATAAAGTCTAAACCCTAAATCCCAGAAGCCTAAACCCTAAAACCTTAACCCTAAACCTATAAGCCCAAAGACTATCGGATTTATACACAAGCGTGGACATGTGCATAAATCTTGTTGAAATTCCGAACCCTTACACGCACGCCTATATACATTTTTCATGCCATGCCTTTTCTTCAAAAACAGTGAACCCGTCGCGTTCTGCTTCAACGCTCCATGAATTTGTATGTATAGTTTTGCTCTTGAAGGCTGGCCTCGGTGCAAACAGCAAGCTGGAGGCGTGCCCCACCTTGCATTGCAGCATGGCTGCAAAGCAGATCGCGGAGATGGTAGCCTTTCTAGAGGCCTTGGGCAAAAGTGAGACGGAGGGCCAGGACGAGCAAAAGCAAGCAGAGACGCAGGCCCGGTTGCTGCAAGCCTGCTTGGCTGATGTGCGTGCAAGCCGCTGCTTCTCTGTAAGCGCCGCCACGGAGATTATGACGCAGCTTGCAGGCAATCCGCGTCTTCCGCAATGGATCAAAAGCCAGATCCTTGAAGTTGTTCAGGAGAAGGTTGAGGTTGCTGCAGCTGAGCAGCCCGCTGAGACGAAGGAGAAGGACAAGCGACCCACGCAGAAGCACCACTTCCTCTTCAACTACTTGACGGCGGAAGACTTGAGCATGGACGCCAAGGAGCGACTTTTGGCCAAGCGGATGGCCTTCCTTGGACTTGTGTGCCCAAAAGAGCCCTGCTTCAAGCAAGCAACCGCCTTGTTGCTCTTGGCGGGGCACACTGGCAGCCTGGAGACGTTCCAGTTCAACGCACGTGCTGCGTACAATCTCCTGCTCGACTTCAAGGAGATCTTCCGCACCTTGGTGAAATCCCCCGTCTACACCCACAGCGGTCTGCTGGCTTACGCGGAAGCACCGGCTGACTTGCCGTGCAACCTGTTCAAGAAGGCTTACCAGGACAAGAAGCCGGAGCCGCCCCTGCTGGAAGTGGATGCTGTTTTGGCACTTGCTGAGGCTGCGCCGGCGCGTAAGAGCCATGGCAGTGTGGTCAGCAGACCCTTTGATCGCGCAGCCTCCAAGAGAGTGGGAGACTCGTCTGTGCAGGACAGAGCCCTGCAGCCCTCGACATTGTTGCAGCCCTGCTTCGGCGAGCTGCGCTCACCTTTTTGTCCTCCCAAAAAGGAGGAGGCACGAGTCCGAGCCACTAGCCTTGCCAGGGCCAGCCTCTGAGCCCCAAGCAGCGCTGGCACTGGAAGACAAGGGCGAGGCTCGCCCGCCGCTTGAGGAACCCAAGCCTTGTGAAGCGTTCGAAGGCTCGAGCGCCACTGCGCCGGGTGCCCAAGGCTCGGACGCTGCAGCTGAGCAGCCCCAGGAAGCGGAGAACGGCATCGACGCTATGCAGCAAAAGATCTTGAGCAAGCTGGACTGCAAGACTCCGGCCAAGAAGTCCGCGAAAGAAATGGTCGAGTCACGCCTGAGAAAACCGAGAACCCCAGCGCCAAGGTCAAAGCGAAGGCGAAGGCGAAGGCGAAGAGCAAAGCCCAGAGCGAGGAGCCCAAGACCACTGTGGGTGACCTGAAGTTTCCTGGAACGGCCAAGAAGCCTCCGCTGCGGCTGCCCAACGCAAGTGTGTACTTTGCAGAGTCTGCGTGGCGGGTAAAGAAGCCGGGAGAAAGGCTTGACAAGGCCTTTAGCTTCAAGCTCGAGGACCCCCGTGACGTGTGGAAGCGGCTGACTAAGTACGTCGCCGGCCTGTAAATAGTCTGCTGAGGCTGGCCCAGCAGCACCGTGACCGCGCTCGCGCGTCTACGCGCGGCAGAGGTCCTGCAAGAGCATGTCGGCTGGCCACATGCCTGGGTCGTGTCACCTTCAATTCTGCAGGGGGTTTGCCGAACGAGAAGAAAACAATGCGCTGCCTGCTGAAGCTGCTGCAGGGTAGACTTGTCTTCCAAGCCCTTCAGGTCTAGAAGATGTTTGGTAAGTTGGTGTCGGATGCCTCCCGCCAATTGCCTCCTGTGCAACTTCATACAATGTGTTTATATAGAGAAATAACGGTAGGGTTTCATGTCAGGGCTCACCTGGTTTTGCCGCTTGTGTACAGAAATCATATATAGCGCGGTGCCAGGAAAAAAAAGAAGTGCACCCAGTTGCGGTGTGGGAGGGTGCTCACTTCTCCATATGAAAACACAAAGCGCACCCGGGCGCCGTATGAAATGAGAGGGTCTGCTTGAGCGCTGTTTCGCTCACTTTTCTATATGTAGGACAAACACTTAAGCGCACCCGGGCGCGCTTTGCGCGGGCCTTGACTTTTCTAGGAAAGACACGAAGCGCGCCCGTGTGCGGCGAAAGGCTTGAAAAATCAAGGCGTCCGGTTTTTCGCGGAATGAATGCTCATCATGGCCTCACGCACGGGTTATAGCGATCTCAGCGCCTATGGCGGATAGCGAGTTCTGATATATAGGTTAACGTGTTCAGTTTTCTAAGAAAACACAAAGCGCACCCGGGCGCGGTACGGGCCGTAAAGGAAAAGGGTCTGGTTT